TCCTTCCCAAATTAAGTTAAGCAACGTCCACCAGCTTTTTGGCAATATTTTATTATGCTAATTATGCTAATTAATTCCAATAAAGATTTTAGGAATTACACAAAATAAAGGAATTTAAAGAATTATCAATTTGTATAGTCGCGTCATAAAGATACTACTTTCGATTAAAAATTAAATCCCCCAAAAAATCTTTATTGATTTATTATTGAATTTTAGCAATTAAATATAAAAGAAAATTATTTATCTATTTAATTGCTCCTTTTGTTTCTAAACAGCATTAATTCTTCGCAGCATTGAAGCTATCTATAACCCATTCAAGTCAGATTGAACCTGAGCGATTATAATTTTCCCACTCCTTGTTCATTCACAATTCGATATGGTTGATGACACAATAAGATCGGATTCACAGTTTTAAATCGTACTAATACGGCAAATTGATCGATATATTAAGTTAAATCTGGACTTATTTTATTAAAAAAATAATATTTAGCTTATAAAGCAAAAAATTTTTTTTTAGTAGTTTCCTCCCTTTCTATTACAAAGAGCCCATATACACTAAAATAGTTTATGAAATACATGAATTTATTCATTTGTTAATTATGATACCTGTGTAACATAAACATAAAATTTTTTTTAAAAAAAAATCCAGGGTTCCCGTGTCATTATTATGGCTAAACATCAATTGGAAAAATAACGAAAAGTGGTATAACACTATCAAATTGAATATACAGTCTGTGGACAAAAAAAATTTTCCGCGGAACGAAACTGTGAATAATTCAGTCAAATTAAGGTCAATTCGAACAATGTAAAATGGAACATGATTTCTCTTTATTTTGCTTCACTAACAATATAATGTTTTTAACATTTTTTCCCTATCGATTTCTTTAATCCCTCAAATGGAAGTTTTCTAGGAAATTCAGGATCTGAAAATTTTATTGACTAAAAGTAAGACCTTATTACATTATAATCTTGCAATAAAAATCAAAATTTGTCAAAAAATTCTCAGACCTGATGTTCCTAGCAAACTTCCCAAATATTCTTTGAGAAAATTTCAATTAGGAATATGACCTCCAGACAAGAAACAAACCGTCAAGCTATGGAATCAGGGCATCCGGGAGATCATGACTTTATCAACAAAGTTATCTTTTATCGCGATCCATTGAGTTTGTGCTTGAGAACGCCCTAAATAGATTAAATCCGAAAAATAAAATTAGGGAAATACTGTATATATGCAAAAATTAAATATTAAAACCCGCGATTTTTAAAAAAACAATAATTATAAAAAAAATTCGCGGATATTAAAAAAAAAAAATTAGTATTTAACAGAAAATAAAATACAAAATTAAAAAATAAATAAATAAATTACATTCAAAATTAAAAAATTTAAAAAATTTAAAAAAATAATTTAAAAATAAATATAAATTATCATTAAAAATTGAAATTAAATAATATACGATAGAATTAGGATTAGGGGTTAGAGTTAAGTTTTTATAAAAACACCAATGATGAGTTAGCGTAAATATTAGAGTTAGTGTTAAAGTGGGTTGGAATATTTATAAAAAAATCAATAAATTGTATTATTATTTTAATTGTTATAGATATGCTAAAACTTTAAAAAATTAAGTTTTCAACACCTACTTCACGTCGCGTTAGCGAAACCCCGGGGCATCGCCCGAGTAAACCCGCTAGTTTAAAAATTTATACAATTCTATGGTTTAATATTTATGATAATTTGTTTATTTAAATTTTGGACATGAATATTTGTCAAAAATTTTTACATTCTTTAGTGTATTTGTAACTAAACATCTAATTCAACTTCACTCCATATAGTTAGTCACTTTTTTTAATAATTGTAATGCGCCATATGCTGAGCATTATATATGTTCGATTTTTTATACGATTATCGATTAAAATCGTTCGATCCGATTTTATTAGAATCGATTCCATTCCGGACAAAGTCCGATACGTCCTATGCCTAACAAAGATTTTTGCATGGAGAGGTTCCTGCAGACAACTTCCAGAGATTTAGGAGGCGAGTGGTGTTTTCGACAAGATTACGATCCGAAAAACACACAGAAACGGGCAAATATGGTGGGGCTTTCTAACAGTAAATCTCGTTAAAAGAAATGTGGAGCCAATGATAAGCGTCGGTGGGATGATCGACCCTAATTGGGTTACGTGCTAAAAAAGATATTAATAAAATAATATATATTATGTAATACCATTGGTTTGTTAGTGTATGTGCAATTTCGTAATCCTGGGTTTTTATATTTATAATTATTGGTGTGAAAGGTTGTAGTTTTTTGTAGAATATGAAGTCGATGCATAAACCTTTTGAAACGATCAATCACCGAATCCTTTCTCCGCCAAACTCAAAAGTTAGCGTAATGTCACGTGGAGCTAATTTTTGGAGGTATACGGTAAATCTACCTATTCAATCTTCCAGATGTGAGAGAGTTCTATAAAGTAAGTTGAAGAAGAATGTCGGCCAACCTACTTGCTAATACTTTATTTTTTTTTTATTATTTAAGAGATTATCCTTTAAGACAAAAGAGAGATAATTGTGTAGGATTGAATAATGAGTCAAAATGGTTTTAAAGATGCCTTTCTGAATTTTCCATTGTTTAGGTAAATTGTTAGCTTTGTACCGATCATTCGGAAATGAGCATCGATTCATTATACAAAGTATTCTGTACTATGAAAACCTAATCAACCACATGCAATAAACTTTTGTATCATTTCTTTATACTAATTACCATGTAAAAACTCATTCAATCGGATTTTATCCGTCAAAAAGACGTCTGTTTGCATAACTTCGAACAGATAACGAAAGGTTTTGATTCTTAAAAAAAAAAAAAAAAATATGTATATATATATAAAACGAATAAATTTTAAAAGAAAGACGTTTATTTTTTTTTTGGTCAAAAGCATATTCAGTATTTGTTATTAATGTTGGAAAGTTAAAGAAAATTGATTAATTAAGGCGAAAACTATGAAAAAACCGATTTCGTCATTTAAAATCATAACTCAAAGAACTAATAATCAAACCTTTTTTTACCTTTAATTTTTATTCAAAACTGATTAGTAACGAGGATATAAATCAAAAATAGACATTGGAGAAATGACCAGAAAATATGATTGAAAACATTTGATAAAGGAGTGTTATCTAAATTTATTAACTTTATACGGAATCAAATATCCAGACACGAACAAGGATAAAACCCCTGTAAATTTCAGCCACAAAATTCGAAATTAGACAAATTATATCAGGAATCATTTGTACCTTTTTAAATAAAGATTTTTAACAATCAATATATAACGGAGCGGATGTTCCGGATATTCGGCGAGACTTATTTTGGACTATTTCGGAGTTGATTCGAAACGTTTACATACTTCACTTAAATAAATGGCAATGCTACATATGAAAATCTTTTAAGAAAATGGTAGTAAGGGAGGAAACTGCCAAAAATACTTTTACTGATAAGTCACTTATTTAACATATAAAGTAAATTCTTTTCCGTTGCCAAGCATCTTGATATGGTTAATCTGTGAGACATTTTATTAATTTTTTTTTAAAATTATTACGAAAATTGTAAAGGAAAATAAAATAAAAAAAAAAGTAATACATTTCTCATAATACAATATATCAAAAATGATGTGCGTGCTCGAAAATTTCATAGAATATTTGGAATCTTCGCATCCCATTTTGAACCTATTAACATCTTACAAGTATTTCGCTAAAGTCTGCAGCTCAATATCCATGTGAGAATGTGAATGATATGAGAAACAAGAGAAAGAAAAAAAAAAAAAAAAAAAAAAATACGCCGACAGTTGTGTCATGAAAGAATTAGGTCGGATTTTCTTGACAAGCTGACCTAATTTGTAGAGTTGTTGAATGGGAGCAAATTATACATAGATAATCTAATCATTAATACAAAACGTAACAAGATCCTAAAGAATGATTCTAAAGGAGTATGGTTCATTTTAAAGTTTTCAAGGTTACACAAGAACTAACAGTTGATTATTTACTTTGATTTTTGGAAACACTCAAAAGAATTATGATTGATTTACATTAAATTAAATTGCCCAGAGGTGATTCGTCAAATTATGCATTATTGTAGCACATTTTTGGTTAGACTCAATTTTTACGCGTTTTTGCCATAATATTTTTGTTCAAAAACCGCAGTTTCCCTCGAACGAAAAAGAAAAAACTCTTTATGTTTCAATAATTAAATGAAAGTTCACCTTCTACTATTTCGATCATTTTATTATTAAGTTGATCTTTGACATAAAATAATTTTTTTATTGGTTGTTACTTATTTCAAAATTCTACGGTTTGATTAATAAGAAAGTTTGTTACACGATCTGTATCATATAATTGATATATTTGTAAAACGATCTCACGTTATTTTTTATTTTTACGTGATGAACAATGAAATTTCTTTTAAAACGGAGAGTATTTACACCGCATTACTTTATTATTCTTGTTCTACAAAATAAATAATTCCATCGTGACACGTAAGATTGCAACAAGATAAAGGAGGAGATGTATATCATAAAATCACATTCTTTTTTTTCGAATATTCAAGATGTAACATATACTATTTTTAATTAACCAAAATTATGTTTCAGAACTACATTATTTATATTATGTAATTATGAAATCTAAAAGTAGAATAGTTATAGATCTTACCAAAAAAAGTTTTTTAACAAAGAGAATTGTAATGGTCGGCACATCTTAAAATACTCACTCATTTTTTTGTTAATCAAGCGTTCTCGACTTCATATTAAAATCGATTTTAGTAATTTATTAAAGATTCGGTTCTATTGGGCTGGTCAATATATTTTACTTATTGTAAAAAATTGTTATAAAAAGGGAAGTGTATTTTTTTTGGATTTAAAAGATGTTAAATAAATTTATTTTTTTTTTTAAAAAAAAAACAACCGAAAAAAATAATTCAAAGTACATATCAAATATTTTCATTCTTTTATAATAAACCATGAACAATTCGAATAATTCCAAGAAAGGTTCATGTAAGGCTGCCAATTTAAATGGTAAACGAAAGTCCGATGACGCCGCAATTCAAGAATTTATCGATAAATTAAATTTAGAGAATATCATTTCACCAAAATTACCAGCGGAAGAATTAGTAAACAGAGAGTTAAATAAAGAGGGAACGCCTAAAAAATCAATGAACTGCTTTATTTGTTTCAGACAAGTCTTTTATCTGGAAGTTGGTAAGCAAAAACTTTTAAAGTTTGCAAAAGATGGGGTATTTATTACAGATGCTGCGACTAAACTTTGGAACTCCAAGGAAGAAATTCATGACCATTACAAAAGGCTTGCAGAAGAAGTAAAAATATTGCAGTCTGCTTTACATAAAGACAATAATCCTAAGAAGAATCTGGTTTCTGAGAATTTCTGTAATTATAATAGTGATGATATCGTTAAAAGAATAAACAAAGATAAGGCGAAAATACAAAAGCGAACAAAAAATAAAATTAGGGAAAAACACACGACTCAAAAAGGCCTTTCATCTCAATCGCAAAAGATAATTCCAACTCAATTGCAACAGCAAATTCTTCCATCTCAATCGCAACCAAATCTTCAACTTTTAGGTGACCGATATGCTCAAATGGTTCATCAAATCGCACCAATTTATCATCCGCCCGACCAACAGCAACATTTAATGAATACGGATTCATTTTCACCTTTCGTTTACTTAGATCCATTTCCTGGTTATTTCTCTTTATTTGTTTAATTTCCTTTCCAAAACCACTTTGATAAGAATCGCTTTCGTATTTTATTTTTCTTTCTTTTCTTATATCCTTTTAAATAATTAAGATTTTAAGCTTTATAAATACGATTATAAGATATGAAATAACGATTTAATTTAATTACTAAATTTCTAAGATTCTTTATTTTTTTGTTTCCTTTTTTCTTAATTTATTATATTTTTTAAATTTAACTTAACACTCTAATAATTTAATTGTAAGTTAGGTATACTTATCTTTGTAATTAAAAAAATAATGAAATAAAGTTGCAGAAAAATTGGAATACTTTATTATATTTTTGAGAATCATATAAATAAAAAAATAATTCTTTTGTCAATTTCACACGACCTTCCTTTTTTTTTTTGATGAAAATGCCATCTTTCTTTCTTTATTTTCTTGCTACCGTTCAAGAAAATCATTCCATTCCAATGACGAAAAATATTTTCTTTAACTTGGTAGGTCAGATTACTTCTTCTTGCTTATATTTATTGAATACAAAGAATCTATAAGAATAAAAAGAAATATCTTACAAATAATTAATTCATCCTTTCATTAAGACATTATTTTAATATTTGTTTAATTTCTATTTTTGCTTCCGGTCGCGTATTTGTATTGGGATGGATCGGTCCAGGTGGACCGGCCGATTTTTTATAACATACATAATTTACATTTACGATATTTTCTTGAGCGAAATGAATAATCAATTATTTTTTAAATATTAAAAAAAAAAAAGATAAAAAAAAAATACATACCCAATCAAAATAGAAATGAAATTGATTTTCGATAAATGAAAATTCCGAAAAATGTATATTGTGGTTAAATATTTTTCACAGTCATAATTTGCCTATCACTCAAAATATGTATTTCGGTTATAAACCTAATCTTCCACCGGTATTATATTTATTTATTATTATCAATTTATAGTAATGATGATCACTTTCTTTGCTTTGAAAAATGTAAATTTGTAATAAACTGAAGAACATAAAGAAATTAGTATCAATAAATTACCTTCATTATTTGTAAATGTTACATTTTACAAGGTTTAATTATTGACACTTTATTTAAATATCGTCGTGCCAATGATACATAATAGTTATGCACAGATTCTATTTTGTAATTTACGCCATTTAAACTTAGTCATGTAATAAACCTACACAAAAAAATCTTCATGAAAAAAAAGAAGAGTTCAATTTGTCCCGTTTTTGATTCATTTAATTATGGATGCACATGTATTTTCATTTTATATGAACTATACGCTTTATTCACAATTTATTACGAACTCTATCATTTCACTTTGAGACGAAAATATTGTTAGCTAAATAAGATAAATTTTAAATACAGCCAGCCAATCAGGATGCAAATATCCATGACGAACAATATAAAATTTTTTTATATTCAGAAAATAAAATAGGAATAGGTTAAACTTTGTGTACTGCGCCACATAGAGTTGGTGTCCATTATTCTAAAGATCGAAATGACGAAATATCTCCTTTCATTGGAACAAACCGTTGTCTTGCTCAATGTATTAAATAAGCGTGAGCACTTTTTTTTTTTTTTAATTATTAAAGTCTGAACCTTTTGAATCAAATTTGATAAAGAAAATTTAAAATAAATTAAATATATTACCTTTCAAGTACGAATAAAGTCATTCAATTCTTTAATAAAATCTCAATGATATCTACGAAGTTTTTCGGCCTTTATGAGAAATTAAAGTTTTTCCGATGGAATATATCTAACTTATGTTTACTTTGAAACCTCCGAATTGAACACATATTTGGTAATTTTTTTTAAAATGTATTACTAATTTAATTTTAAAAAAAAATGCAGTCGGATTAATGGTTGGCGGAGCTGATCGATGTACACGAGATTTAGTGCATAAATGAAATTAAATTTATAATCAAAATACAATCCACTCGTTGCATAAAATTAAATTTTTGAAGGTCATGTAAACAATTTCATACCAAGAATTTAAGATATTTCAGTAAATTTTGTTATTTTCGCCAAGAAAAACATCAATTATGTAAATTAGTAATCTATCTTCTGGTGGAAAAATACTTCAAAAAGACATACTTCTTTTTTAAAAATAACATTTCATCTATCTGCTAACTCAGGTTAGAATTTAAGAAATAAATTGTTTATAAAGTGTTGAATGCACTCCTCGAATACTTACTCGAACCTAGGTTTATAAAATTTTGACTCGAATACTCGAATTGTCTCGAGTCACACTAATACGAGCCCAGACTCTACTCCTGTAGATCTGCGCAACATCTGTTTGTTCGCACATCGTGATTACATTATCTAATTTTTGGTTGCCAAGATAATTTTGTGCACATGACTTTGATTGGTCATTTCTATTTACTGCCACCAGGTTCAATTGCTCAAATTGCTCAGCAGTACTTCATTAGAATTATCGATATTTAAACCCGTTCTCGTTAGCACGCGGGTTTGCGCCGAGGCACCGCTTTAAGCAAATACGTAAAAGCTCCATAAAGCGGAATAAAAATAATAATAATAATAATAATAATTATGACACCAATATAATTAAGCTCTAAATTAATTATTTTATTCTGTATTATAGCAAATTAGTTATTTACTTCGGATATTGGTCGTTGAATATGGATAAATAATTGTTCAAGTTGGAGGATTGCATTAGTTCATATTTATGAAGCCCGACTTAATCAATGTAATTTTTTTTTCTTGTCTTGATTAGCATAATAAAGAATGCCGAAAAGCTGGTGGCACGTTGCTTAAAATTTGGAAAGGTTTTGATTTTCCAAAATCGGTAATTTTTTGACGAACATACTAACCAAAAATTTCAGTTTATGGTTAGAATCTATTACCAAATATAATTTAGACGTTTCTGTCATTTTTATAGCTTTTATGCTTTATGCTTAATGCTTAATGCTTTATGAAATCAGTAAAAATTGGCAGAAGGCGGTTTTTTAAAATATTTACCCGATCGCCCCAATACCTCTACAAATCATTACATTTATTTTATTACTTTTTAAATTTATTTATTTTTATTATTATTTTTTAAAAAAACAAAAGAATAATAAGAATAATACATTATTTTTTGAAAATTTCGACGGATTTTCGATAGTTGAGTTGGTCATAAGTTTTATTTAATTTTATCTCATCAGTAAATTTTTTGTTTGGTATTTCTTTCGGGCTGGGTCGCAAGGTAAAGTTTTTTTTTATTAAATTATTATTATTCTTATTATGTATTGGATCGCTTCGGGGCACAGTAACTGATGATTTATCATTTTTATTTTCATATTTAGGTTCTTGTTTCGATTCCAAAAGATTTGGACAGTGAGTTATGGTAGCAGCGGAGATGGATATGCCCTAGTTACGTTCATTAATTGTTTGATCCGTGATAATAACTTCTCATATTTTCCGTTTTTTCTTTTATTGACTTTTTAATTCTTCTTTTACATATTGCACACCCTTAAATTTGACTTTACTTTTAAAAAAATACAATGCGGGAAAATTAAAAATGATAGGTAGTAATTTAATAACAAAATACATATACTTGAAGTTATTAGATTAAAATGCAATAAGGTCTTAATTTTAATTAAAAAAAAAAAAAAATTCTTTGAGCCTGATTTTCCTAGCAATCTTCCCATATATGGTATAGGGTTGGATCGGTCCGGTCCGGTCCGGTCCAAAAAGACCGGTCTTTCATCTTTCTTTGGACCGGACCGGTCCATAAGTC